TTATCACTGGTATATTGTTACGGTTATCAAATTACCTTGATCTCGCCAAGTTGGGATAAAGGAATTTTTGATTTCTCCGAAGTAGTAACCATTATTTGTTGAAGGATCGGGTTAATATTGACAATTTTCCAGCTAATAAGAGGACCAAGATTAAAAAAATATAATAGGGTAGATAGTTTCTGACAGAAACGATTTCAGTGTCCGCAAAAAATAGTAGATCCCAAATAATCTACATATTAATAAAGTTATCCCTGGTGGCCGATTTCGCATACATAATCAGTTTACTTTGCATGTGTATTTCGTGGATTTATTTATTGTATTGTTATAAACGTATATTAGATGCAAAGCATCCTTACTCCGTGAGACTCACATACGATCGAAAATTTTTTGATAGAGCGTGAAATGTTTTCACGCAGTCATTGAATTTTTTGTGAAGTGATAGAGTGTGAAATATTTTCGCGCAGTCATGTAATTGAGGATTTTATTTTTTATTTGTTCACGTAGCATGTATTTCTGTTTTCATCATATAAAAAAATTTATATCTCCTCAATAAAGAATTGAATATATCCGTATTTTATATAAAAAAATAGCAAATACACAATCTAAAGATGATTCATTGAGAGAATTGAATTACAAGCTTGTAGCCGAGATTGATAAACTTAGGAAGGAGAACGCAGAAATACCTGAACTTAAAAAGAAATGTACTGAAATTGAAACCGAGAATATAGAACTTAAAGCTGAGAATATGAAAATTAAGGCTGATAATGCGAAGTTAAAGCAAACTTTAAAAGAACATGAAATCAGAATCACGAATTTAGAACAAAGAGATAAAGAAAAAACTGTTACTAATGTTTTACAACAGGCAGAGGGAAGAGATGAATTCTCGAGTTTACAGCTTATCTCTGATTTGTCTACAGTAAATTCTAATAATATTCCCGTATCTTCAGAAGTTAAAACGATCGATGAGTTTCAAGATCAAAAAGAAAAGGAAAGAGTTAGTAATATGATAAGAGAGAAAAATAGAGAAAAGAAGCTTCAATGTGAACTAACCGAAAATCGATCCCAGAACTTAATTTCAGTTATTTCTAAATCTCCAGAGCAAAATCATGTAAGTGGAAAAGAAAAATGCCAAGAAATTTCCGTCACGAACTTACGTGACGATCGACAAAATGAAACTAACGCTGAGGAACCTGATGAAATTGAACCCATTAAAAGTCAGTATATAGAACAAGGATTAATAAAAGAATTGCTTAATAGCAACTCTATTATATCGTCAGTTATAATACCAGAATATCGAACGTTTCAAATTACAACACAAAGCTTAGTCCATTTATTTCATTATGCATTACGATCTAGGCATGAAGAAATCCTAGCATGGTATAATTACTCAGATAATTTTGAAAATAGAGTTATCAAAATTTGCCATGAATTAGGGGTAACAGATAAAACTGCCAGAACGCAATTATACAAGGAAATGTTAAAAATCTACCTGGTATTACATCAGGAAACTTGCATATGAAAACTTTAAGAGCTAAAAAAATTCGAATGCTATTTGGGGAGAACAGAGTTGGAATAGATAAAATCAAACAAGTTATCTACAGTATATATGCTATCTCTACTCTTACTAATAGCCAAATTCAAAACGTTATCAAGAATGTAACTTCAGCAAAACCTTTATCAGAAACCAGCATGAATCATGAAAATCAAACTAGTGCAGAGATAAGTATACCTACTGAATTTCAAGTTTCCAATTCATCAAGCTCTAAACCATCTCAAGAAAATGATCAAGATGAGTCAAAGACTCGAAGCTCTGCTTCCTCGGAATTATCAGAAGCTGAGGTAAATGCATCTACTGAAGAAACAGAGTTTCGAGTCTCTGACTCTGTTAATTCAGAAACAGAGATATGCATGCCACCTATATCCCAGGTAAATATATCTAACAAATTCCGACTTCCAATTTCTATTTTACCTAACAATCCTAAGGAAAAATGAAAATATGTAATAAAAATGGTATTGGAACGATTCACTAATTTATCTTTTAAACGTAGTAGTAAATACACTGATCATTTCAATTGTACAGAAACATGTCCTGTATGTAATAAAGAGCATAAAGACGATAATGTTAGTAGTGAATAGGGTAGTAGTGATTATTATAGTGAAGAAACTTATCGTCTTTATTGTAGGAAGGTATATCAGAATGGAATCCAAATGGTAACTGTGAAAAAAGAGAATATAAAAGAAAAGCAGAAGAACCATATCAACAAGGTATTGAAGCAGTATCTGAGTATATCTTTGAGTTGTAGTACTAATTCTAATGATATATATCATTGCAACATGTCTAAATCCTCATATCCGTCTTGCAATTTAAATCATAAGAAAAATATCGTAGGCTAGTATAAGAGAGGATCTTATAATATAAGATGCATGTTTAATTACACAGGTGGAATTGATGCAACAGTATAAATAATCACGTAAAAATAAAGAATAAACAATAGTAGGATATGGGAACTCTTCTTTATTTAATAAATTTTTTTTGTCTAAATGACAATATACAAATATATATTTTTATTATATAATAAAAAAAGATTAGTGGGGTTTCACATTTGATCTAACATTTCCTGCTGTTCACTGGGATTCCTATAATCATTATCATCATTTTCCTCTTCCCTTTCTAAGTTTTCTCTCGAAAGATTGTCCAAGGGTCTGCTTTCATCAACATTATAGTCATCATCTTCTCTGGGGTCATAGGTTGAATCATCTAATTTAATATATGGACATGGCCTGATGAAATGAGTTTTAGCCTTAGTCTCACAAATATATGAAGAGTGCTAATAAAAAGTTACCTCCTACTATATCTGTTTCTTCTATTATTGTGTTGACGATTGGAATTAGATGTCCTTTGGTTAGGTCTTGGATTGGACAGTGTTGAGGGTACATAATAGGTCTCAGAAAGGTTATTGTCATTAGTCGTAGAAGTGGTGGTGCTATTACTCGTAGTGGTGGCGTTATTATCATTGGTCTTGGGAGTGTTACTATCATTGGTCTTGGGGGTGGTAGTGGTTTTTTTATTACTGCTCATTTTTCGTACCTAAATACATAGTAAGAAAAAAATTTGGTTTCATAGCTGAAGTAAAATGAAATAATACAAATTACTTAAAAAAAATATACAGGCAAGTGAATCAAGTAAAAAATATATGAGCAAAAAATAACGTTATTAGTAACTTATCTTACTGACAAAAATCGCTTATTTTTATACCACTCATTCGATAGATCTAAAAAACCTGCTAGAAAAAAAAGTTACATGATTAGTAATTGCGTTACCCTAACACAATACCAGATCTAGCCACATAAAGCAATCCCGTTCAGCTATAAGTTCCAAATACTGAATCTATTTCGTCATTTTTTAGGTAAAGTTAAACCCTCTTAGATTTGACGATCGCTACTACAAAGTGAAAAAAAGTTGACGATCTGGGAATGGTGGAGATTCCAAGTCCTAGTAACATATGAATTTCGATAAAACTACTGATAAAGAAAGTTGTACTCTTCCTTATTATAGCCCTTTTAAGTTCCATTTACGCTTTTTCTTATCGCAGTATCATATATAATAAGAAAAGGCTTTCTAGATATTCATTATCAAAAATTGACCATGAGAAGTTAAGGTAACACCACATAAAGTTTAATGCAGGCTATTGATTAT